TTAAGTAAAGGGGTGTGGGTGTGTGTGTGTGTCAGTAAAAAGCTTGTTCTGTCTGTTATAAATCAGGATAGGTATTCTTTTAGAGTTTTACAAAAACTAGTGAATCTTAAGTCAATCTGTTTTATCATTAAGAACCCAAGTAGCACCTCCAGTGTAATTCAGTAAAAAACTGGGGCTTCTCCAATAATTACAATTCAGAGACTTTCATTTTAGTTTGTGCCCTAAGACACAATGTAAGGAAGGCCACACAATGATAAATAAAGTAGGGGAACACATGTATGATTGGATTAAATATTTATCAGCAATGTCTGTATTAATGTGAGCTGTTCAGGAGCTCAGATTTGCCCCAGATCATGCAAAGTGATCAGTTTCTGCTGAGAAACCCTCAGCAGCCTTGTCTGTAGGAGCTGCAGGAGGACAGGACATGGCCTTGAGCATTGGTGGACCAGCAAGAGGTGGCTTGTTGACACAATGCCTGGCACACATCTGGCCTGTGCCCACTAGTACAGGGCCAGACACTGCTCCAGCATGGGGTCAGGCAGGCCATAGCCCAGGGTCCCTGTCCGACAGGTTGCGTGGATGAGGACACCCTGTTTCTGGCAGAATAGAGGTGAACCATGGGGCTGGGTATTGGATGGTGCTGCCTATCCTCATGGACAAAGAGTTGGCCCTGGTCTGGTTTATTTACAGGTACAGACACAGTCATCACCTCCAGGGAATTTTTCGCCTGGACACAGCAGGAAATAATTTCTTGAGGACCAAAAGTTGCCATTCTCTACCCATATACTCTTGGCTTTTAATGATGGAGTGGGAAGAGGTGCCTGTCAAAGTGATTGCATTAAACAGTATTTCACCTTGGCATAATGCAGCATTATGCACAACTTTGAAGGATGCATTTATAGTCTTATTCTTCCTTAGGTGAAGGCTGTTAGGGCATCTGACTTTTCTAAAGAGCTCTAAGAGGAAGCGCCAGCAGTTGAAGAGCATCCTACAGCATGGCAGCCTGTACAGCATATGGGAAGCATTTTCTCTTCTCCGTGGCAAAGGAGGGCTCTGGCTTTTCCCAGAGCTGCATGGGTAGAGGGGAGCAGTGACAACACAGAAGGCTGGAGAGACACGTGTGTCCTCCAGGGTCTAGGAAGAATCCTTTCAAAAGCACAGCCAAGGGTTCATGGGACATGACCAATCATAGTGAGGAATCCTACTTAAAATGGGGCTTCCATGCACAGTCTTGCGCTCACTGCTTGGTACTAGCCTGCTTGGGAGTGGGCAAGCCTGGAGGAGCAGGGTGGCTTTGCAGAGTCCAAACAACCTCTTCTGAGCTTCAGAGGCAGGAGGTTTGTGCTGTCTCAATGGCTATGAGATTCTTCAGGAACTTGCCCCAGGTCTTTTCTCCTTCCAGCACCCCTTTGGGGTTTCTGTAAGGGATACCTTTGGGTTGTGGCTCTTGATGTCCCAGTCAGTGTTACAACATGGCTGTAATGGCTCTACTGCCTCTGTGCAAAGCTTTTTGTTGCTGTTAGAAAAAAACAGAAGTGCTCCTTCTTGTTTCACATTCTTCTGAAAAGCACTTTACACATTGGAAGAGGCAGGGAGCTTAGAAAACAGCAGCTTTTTAGGACCTATTACCCTTTTTACTTTCCAGTAAATTCAGTGAAATAATTTTCCATGTGATTTAAGAAGTGCACTAATTTACTGTGCAAATATTTGAAGGTTTGTATTAATTAGTATTGTTGCAAACATTGATATTTAGAGCTCAGGCTAAAGTGTAATTCTGAGACACAGTAGGGGACGTGTAATTGGAGTTGAAGGTCAGGTCACATATTGGGATTTTCAAAAGAATTAGGCAAGTTCAGCTTCAACAAAGTGTTTATGGATTTGGAATGACAATTACGTTGCTGCTGCAGCTGTATGTTTTGTACTAATTAATATACCTATCGGAGGCTTGTGGCTGGGATCCCGTCACTATCTCCTGCTGTTTTAGATTGCTGTACACGTTTATATTGACTCCAGCAGGATTACTGCTTGGTTTCCCAAGTGGCAATAAGAGGATAGTCCAGCCAGCGGAACTGTGAACTACATTGGTAGGAAACTCATGAATCTGAAACCAGGCCAGTGCTGTTTATATGGGTAAATACTGTAAATTTAGGCAGGTGCAATCCAGAGGGGAATTGAACAAGTGAAATATTTTAGCAGGAACAAAAGTCTGTTTCATTTCTTGATTCTGCACTATCCAGGTTAGGCCTGGTTCTACCAGGTGATTAAAAATGATAGATGCTAGATGATTTGCTGAATTGATACCTGTTCTTTCATATTCAGATAGGAAATGTTTCCGGGGAAAAATACCACTCCAAATCCTAAAACATAAACACTACACAAATTGAAACTTAAGCGAGATAAATGATCTTGGTTTGTACGTGTTCTGCCAAAGAAGCATTTACAGGGTGTGAAATAAACCACTGAACCCTTTTTATTTAAATAAGGAGTCATTCATTGTGAAATACTACCATGGCAGACTGAAGGACCCTCCCTTCTCTATTTAAATAGAAACCCTTCTCTTCAGCCTACGGAAGGACCTAGGAAAATAGCTTGCAGGAAAGGACCCAGCCCTGTGATTGTTTTATGCACAGAAGCCCTATTGAAACCAGGAGAAGCTGTGAGCAAAGAACATTTGCAAGGTTATATCCCAAGTATCTAGAAAACAGATTTTAAAAGACATCATCAATAATAATAACACTACTATAGTTCTGACTCATGCTCTGAGCAAACAGTTACCAAAGAGTTTAAGACGTTTCCACCTCCCTCAGCTGCTTGTTACCTCTCTGCTCCAGGGAGTGTTGCTGCAGGCTCCATGCCCACGCCTGCCTGCTGCAGCTCAGGGCTGAGCCCACCCTCCTCTTAGCTGGGGTAGGTGAGGCACCAGAAAGGGTCCATCTCTCCTGCCACTGGTATGGCTGTGCTCACTGCATACCCAGCTTAAAGTGTCACAGCACTACTTGCCTGAGCTCAGCCACAGTGGCCAACACCCTGTGCGAAATCTGGGAAAAGTGGATAAATATCACAGCCCACCTGCTCTAACTCATGGGACTCATTGCCAAGAAGATGAAGGTGCTTAGCGAGATTGCTGGGACCAACTTATCACAAATACCTCCAGCAGTAGCTCTGAAACGTAATGATTAGACACAACCATGTGCATAAGGAGGATTTATATAAAGGTCTTGAACAACAGCTTGCGGGAAGGTGGGCGGGCATATGGAGGGGCTTGGTGGTTCCTGCCCTGCTCACAGTATGTGTTCCCTAAATGTCTGCTGCTGCTCCCTGTCTGGGACAGGCTGCTGGGAGAGGTGTGCAGGGCTGATGTGGGGTAGGTAGTCTTAAAAGCAAAGCACAAGGGGGCCATTGTGCCCCTGAAATTCAGAGGCGTGGTTCTGGGTGGCTTTCTGGGTGTCCCAACTGGCTCTGGTTCTTGTACACAGCCCCAGCAGCATCTGAGCACAGCTTCTTTTATGGCAGATCTACTGTATCTTACTCTTAGAAATGTTTTTCCCTTTCCTTTCAGGCAACCAATGGCCTCCCAGCTGTCAGCAGTTTCGTGTCAGCACCAGCCATGCCTCCCTATGCCACACCAGCACAAGTGTCACCTTACATGACGTACAGCGCTGCCCCATCTAGCTACATGGCGAGCCATGGCTGGCAGCATGCTGGAGGCACCCCACTGTCCCCTCACAGCTGCGACATCCCTGCCTCACTGGCATTCAAGGGCATGCAGACGGCCAGGGAGGGCAGCCACTCGGTCACAGCCTCTGCCCTCTGATGCAGGAGTTGGTCCAGGACCACCATGAGCCTGCTGGCTGGTTGTCCCCTGAGCCTGGCTCATGGACTTCTCTCTTCGTGCCAGTGATAACTGGCATTTCTCCTCGTGACTTGTCTAACGTAAGGCTTTTGGGATTGAAAGAGCTGAAGACATCAGAAACTGAGAGAAGTGTGGTGTTGCACTCTTTAAGTAAAGACCTCGCGTCCCTAAAAAAGGGCTTGGGGAGCCTTGTCCCACTCTTTCCTGGTCAAACCACATGTATTTATTCTTAATCATCACAGACTTTCTAAATGTGCAATTGTTATTAAGATTTGTGTAAAAATCAATAAAGAAAAATCACCACAGAAAATTCTGCTATGCCTTGAATCAGCAAAGGCGGCTAAATGGGAGGCATTTGCCAATTGCCTAGAGAACAACCCGTTCATCAATGAGGTTATACAATCCTCCACTATTAAGAGATCACTTTTGGTTGTTTTGTTGGGTTTTGGTAATAAAATATAGAACCAAGGCAATAGGCAACTCTCAGATTCTTTTGGCATGTCGCCATCATCAGGCAGTAATAACACCTTTGCGTTTTTATCCATTTGTAAATATAGGCTTTTGACAGCATTTGTTTTCACCTTCCAGTACATTTATTTCTATTTTTTTTTTTCTTTTGAAGTAAAAAATGCGACTTTCTAGCTATTTTCTGTGTCTTTGTGTGGTGGGGTGATAGCCTCAGGTGATGAGGTTTAGGTAAGGTTTTTTTTTCATCGTGTTTTTGTGCCTACAGTGGAGGCTGCAGCATCTCATGAAATACAATTATCTCTTTAGCAGAAGATTCAAAGACAGAAATCCAGCCAAGTAACTCTCTCCAGCTATACCCAGCCTCCCAGATCCATGAAACATCACATTCGCATTAAGTGTACAAACAGAAATGGGTGAAAATACCTGAAACTGAAAACTGTAGAGGAAAATGTCATTAGTGTGCAACTGGTGTGGAGATGCTTACAAAGCCATGTCAGTCAACAAACCCTCTGAGAAACAGAATTGTACCGTCATTGTCAGATCACTTGTGTCCAGCATTTTTGGCTCCTAGATTATGTTGTATTTTTTTTAAGAGGAAGTTGTCTTTAATTTCTGCTTTAATGAATGTAAAATATGGCTCTTGGTAAAGTTTACATTGTTATTCTAAATATTTTTTTTCCCCTTATAGGTATAGTGGTGGTGGTGCTACACAGATATTATTTAATATTAACAAATTCCTTTTCTACATTTCTGTATCCAGTGGCAAGTACTCTGTGCCAGTTATTTTGCTTTAAACTTTAATCCCAAGAGAGCTAACATTCTGATCTTTGAAAATTTACCTGTTTTCCTTGGGCAATAATAAAGTTCTGACTATTATTCCAGAATGCTTTCCACATGCTGTAGGTATGTTCAGAACATGAACGTGGAAAAAAAATTAAGCCTGGTGTGACATTTCATAGCCTTCATAGATTATTAATATATTGTGTATTTTTATAAATGTTGTGCAATAACTTAAATTACACTAGAGATAGCTAAAGCAGAGAAGAAAACTTCATTCTTCAAATATTGCTCTATCTGCATACCATATTAAACATTCATTCAGTGGGATGGTAAAATACAGTCCCCTCAATACAGTCCTCTCTTTGTGGATTTCCAGCTTTCATCACCAAGACAGCTGTGGGTAAATTTTTGTAATAGTCTAAGTAACCAGTACATATGTTACGTACAGTATATCCACTGAAATATAGATGGACTCAACTGGCTGCTGCCACCTTTGCTTTTTGCATTAAAAAATAGTTAATGGAACTGTATTTCTATAAAAAACACAGGTATTGTATTATGGCCCTAAGGAAAGAAAGATCTGATCTCGGATGTGGTCCCGTATCCTTCAGCCTCAAAGGCATTCGACAGCTGCTCAGCTTTAACGAGACGCTGAAACCCTTGTTAGTCAGTAGAACACTTTCTAAAGAATGTTTCTTTGAAACCACTAAAGGTAACATGCACACAAGTGCAATTCTGCTCTGCCACACTGTTAGTGACATGATGGACGTTATTCTGCCTTTTTGCAGTTGTAGCTGAAATAAGTCGAACTGTAACACCATGAAAGAAAAATTGGTTTAATTCTCAACAAGCTCTTCACTAAAAATAAAATGGAGGTTAAAAAGAAAGATAAGAAAAAGGTCACGAGTCAATAAATGATTAATCTGGCAACAGGATTTCAGCTTTCAACCTAGTTGTTTTTACGGGATTATAGAATTATTGTCTATTTATTGTTACCCATACAGCACAAACAAGGTATTTCAAAGGAAAAAAAAAAAAAACAACAAAATGAAGAGAAGCCTTTCATAGCACAGCTTTTTGAGCTCCAAGAATTCACAAGCCTGTAACAAAGTGTGCCTATGTTAAAAGTTTTCAAAATTTTCTGGAGCAACAAGGTCATTTCTGGAATAAAAGTCATCTTTTCCGATAGTCCCATGAGGCATTAGTGTGTTCGGGGAGATACTCAGAGAGACAGATCCTTAGCTTGTATCAGTCATTTGCATTATCTTGTTTTCAGCTAAATCAGGATAATTTATAAAGCAAGGACAAGACATGATGTTAATTATTCCTCATGTGGGAATACACCACCGTGAACCATTTTTGTTTTGTGTTTGTTTAGGTACAGCTCTTTGTGCATCTACCTGCTGTATATGTCTTACCCCCAAGTGGAAAGTCAGTGGGACTGTGCACAGAAAGTGTTGTTCAGAGGGAGCAAAGGTACCTGACCTTGGCTCTTGGTGAACTGCCTGTGATAGATTTTTTTTGTGTGAATTTACATAGCAATTATTATTTTTTAAAGTGTAAACTTACAATGCAGAATACTCCTTTGCCCAAGGACTTTTTTCCCTGCCTATACTCATGGGTAAACTGAAAACCACATCAGATTATTAGCCACATAACTTTAAGCCACTTCACAATAAACAAAGGAGAAAAAGGGATTTAAAATAATAAAAAAAAACCCAACAACCAAATAAGGGTCAACTGCTGCTGTCAGGTACAGGGGTATAAATCTGGAGTGAACCCACTGAGGTGAATGGATTAATTTGGGAAATCGTATACGTGAGTGCAGAATTTAAGTTTTTAATCTGAAAAGTCTACACTCTGTTCCCAGAGTGTCATATGTCTTCAAAGAAATCAGTGAAGCCAAGTACTCCCTTCTGTGACAGCCCCACAGTGTTTGCATGGTCCCAGTACAGAAGACCTCCAGTGTCAAACTGAATCAGACCCCATGAGTGATGGGGGATTGGGATGGCACATTCATGGGTTTGCTTTCTAAAACAATGCATGTTTTCTGCTTTTTAGTGGTTCTCTTTTTATCAAAGATCAGGCTGAGCTATTAACTGAAAAAAAATCATGTTGGAAAGGATGTAAAACCAAAGGCTATATATGTATATACAGTATGTTTAAAGCCTTTTATTTTTATATTTTGAATGCTCTAAATTAATAAAAGACTAATTATAAAGAATTTTGCTTTTAATTTTCAAAATTATCTTAGTAGTGTCTTCTCTTTGGCTAAGTACTGATAATGAAATGCAACAATGAGGAACATTTGCCTTAAAATTATGAACCATAACAGAGTTATTTTTATTGATTTTAGCTATGAAGTTGCATAGGTATGAGAAGTCGCTGTTGTCAAATTTAGACAAGAGAGGTTTATTAAGCATGTCAGTACAAGCATCCTTGAAAGCGCTGAGAATGCACTTCTACTTTTAATTTTTTTGTTGCTTTTCTAATGCATTAAAAACACTCATGAGATGAAAAATGTGAACTGTCATTTTCAAGCAACAATCTGGAAAGTTATTTCTTTAGGATTGCTAGGAAAAAAGTTTGTACCTCCTTAAGAGGAAAAACATTTAAAGTTGTGTGAATGTAGTACGGGGTGATAGAGAAACTTTTCGCAATTGCAAGATATGCATTCATTTGACAACAAACCAAGTTTAGATAATGGGAACGTTTCTGTAACAGAATAATGTATAAATTTATTTAAAGAGTTCTTGAAAATAAATTGTAGAGTGGCACAACTTCATGAACTGAAACCATGTCTTCAATTAGCACTGCATGAATTGTCATAATTCACAGAGCTTGTTAGAATGGCTAGTAAAGACAGGAGTACACCGCCAAAATATTATTTATATTTACAGTGACTGGGAAAAGCAACAATTTTACCACTAGAGCAACACTTTTTACGTACAGAAATGTGCATTTCTTTGAGGTGTGGGTAGCTAATTATGACTGCATATGTGATTTAAGTCTAGAACATTGTTTCTCCATTCCACAGTGGTAATGAAAGGCTAAAGGGGCAGTTAAGGTGCATTGAGCATTTTTATCAGGGGACATCATGTTAATTTCTTTACTCATTTCTTTTATGATTCCCATGGTTGTTTTGCACTTTTATGTAACTTAATTCAGACTAATTATATGCAGTATCTTCTGTGACTTGAGTGAGATTTATACAATATATATGGCTAAGAACAAGTAGGATATTTAACAGTATGTATGTGTGACTTCAAGGTTGTGGCTAGTTGTGCTGTCCTGTTTCTATCCTAACTCCCAACAACTTAAGATGCTCTTCTATCAATGTTGAAATTGTCCTGGACTGAACTGAAACTGGACCCAAGACTGACACAAGAGTTTGCAGAGTATGGGTTCATGTTCTTAACCTGGAAACAATGAAGTTGTCAGTTTGCACTAGCTTAGTATCTGGCCCCAGAGGATTAATTTTTTTTCTTTGAAATCTCCTGAATGTTGTTATCTTGCCACTTCAACTGAAATTTTTAAAAGGTGTGTTGACTACATTGTGTAATTCAGTGTCCATAATTTTCAGTTTGTTCTTGAAAAACTAATTTGTTCCTATGTCTCCTTTATATTTTCTCTTCATCCACTAAAACAATAACAAATATTAACTGTGCTATTTACTTATGCACTTACAGAAAAGCATATGCTTAAATGTCTTCTTGGATCAGGACCTGAAAACCAAACATGTTTTGAACTGTATTAACATCAGTTCAATCTGAAGGCATTCAACACCGTAAAGGATGAGAATCACTTTTACTTTATTAAAGTGTATTTTAGTATGTATATAATTTTAAAGAGCACATTTTTTTCAGAAGTGCTACTTGTGATCAACTGTGTCCTGAAGCAATGCATAAACGTATTCGTAAACCAAAAGCATCACTGCACCACCTGGAAGAAAAGATATTATTTTACTACATACAAAATTCAGTATTTTCAAGATTTTGTAGAGCATTTGTAGTGTCTAATCTAGACCAGGATATGGCAAAGCCTGATTTGCAAAATGGATAATTCTACTAATTCCCTAATTCATGAAAAATTCTCTGATTCTTAAACCATACCATTTTTACTTAATATTAGACCAAGTTGATGTGAAAAGCTTGTCTATTAAATAAAAATCACCCTCAGTGTGATTTTTTGGGTAATGTTTTTTCAAGATTAATATTTTTCTTTGTTCTTTTACAAATGAAGCTTTTAATCTGAATATGTGTACATTTGTGTGTTTAGATTTGTCTGTGAAAGAGCAATTTGAGTAGTGGAATGACAAAAATTCAAGCTTCAAAAAAGGTTTTCAGCTGCTTGTTTACCATGTCTAAAGCAGAAGATCATGGTACTGAAATGAGTATAATCTATGAATCTACAGGCAAAGTTTTGATATGATGAAATGACATTGTGCTAGAACTGAAGAACCATATAAAATCCCAGTTTGGATGCCATAAAGTATCTTTACTGTTGATGAAGCTAGACTAAAGCCCTTCTGTAAGCTGTCTGTAATTACAGTATGAGCTAAAGAAGGGAACATTTCAGAAGGTATATATATATTTATATATATATATATATATACACCTAAGCATATAAGGAAGCTTCTAGGAGAAGAAGGGGAAAGAGAATCAGATTCCTGGTTGCAGGAGTAAAAGTGTGTTACAGTGTGCTACCTGGGGATGCCAGCACTGGGGCACAAATATTTTCTGGCCTTTGCCTGTTGGCTCTGTTAGTGGGTTAGAGTGGCACCTCTAACAACGAGATCTGCTGCTGAACTGGGCTGACTTTTCTAGGTAGATGGGATAGGATCAGACAACCAGGCACACACAACTACCACAAGAGTTTTCATTTATCCTAATGAACCATCATCAGACTTGAAATCCTCTATGAACAGCAACTCACAGACAGCTAAACAGAGCAAAAGTTTGCAAAAGGCTTTGACCAACAAACAAATCATAGGCACAATGTCTAAGATGTGATTTGAACTCAAATCAAGGCTGGTTCCAGTTCTCATACTGTGTGATCTGTTTGTGTATCTCTTTTCCTGAAAGCATTCATGTGCTGAAAGAAGGAATTACTTTTCTAGTCACAATAAAGATTGCATTATTGTTTCATTGGAAAGCCAAATCTATATATTAGTCAATGGGACTACAAAAGTATTTAAAACAAAGTGCACACTTAACTGACTTGCTGGATCTGGGCCAGAACACATAATAATTTGAAAAATGGAAAATTTTAATTCAAAATCTGCTGTGCTAATGGGTACTGGGGAAATGAAACCCTGACTTCTCTTTGTCCTGCATGTAATTTAGTATCTTTGGAGTACGAGGGAAAAGGCTTTTAGCTTCAGACTTATGTTTAGCTGCCTTGTTTCCCCTCCCCACCTTCTTCCTTTACCCTGCACAAAAACCAGGCATGGTCTAGCACTTAGCCAGACAGATTGGATATGCAAACATTTACAAACAAACCTAATGCCTCCTTTATACTGCAGAACAGACTCTGTACCTACTTGCTTTTAACCATGTGTGTTCTTGCCTATTAAACCACCTTGCACAATTGGAAATAAAATTTCACAGGAATGGGATACTGTTCAAATTGAGGCTTCTGCTCTTTTTGACAGACTGCCTCTGTGGGCTGGCAAACTCTAAGGGCGCAGCACTTTGCTTTCATGATTAATCAAAACCATTCAGCGAAAAACAGCCTAAAAGTAGAAGATCTAGCTCTCAACCACTGTGCTCCCACATTTGGAGTAACAACTAGTGAGAAGGTGTCAATCAACAAACTCAGTTTTAAGCCATCCTTGTCCTTTAAGTCTTCTAGGGCCATGAAAGCCTCTTCCAAGCTCATGCTATTGGTCTTTTAGTGTCTGTTCTTTACAGCCCCCGCAGAGCACAGAAGAAAGTAACTGGAGTTTGATATGCTTGGGCTATGCTTCAACTGGTCGAGAGTATTTATACTGGAAAGACTTTACCCTGCATTTTAAGGTGACATTACATGGGTGCAGAATAGTCCCAGTGAAAAAAAAAAATCACATTAGATGGAATAGGAAGTTTTAAGAAACCCTTCCAAAGATTTTACAGTTCTGGCATTTGCATGCATGCACTTTGGTTTGTTCACAAATAAAGCAATTACACAAACCAGCAGTTACTTGGATCTGCAGTCCTTGATGTGTATATGATTTTTTTTTAGACACATATTTAGTCAAGCTTATCTATGATACTATTAGATAATGCAATTATCAAAAGAAATCATTCCAAGATTAAAGAGATTTTGATGATTTTTGGTACACGGTTTCATTTATTTGACTGATACTTACTACATTTTGTCATGACACTGAAAAATGGGAAGAGAAAGCAAGAACAAAAGCGATATAGAAATGACAGAGGCAAAATTACCTGGTCCAAGCCTCATGATCTTGGGAACCAAGCCTTTGTACAGAGCCAGAAATCTGTAGCAGAAGAAAAACAAACAAAACATTTCAAACAATATTCTTGGTCTAAAAGAAGAATGGAATTTTAGCATGTGTTTGTTAAAATGCTGGCAGAGCATTTAGAAGCAATTATTTGAAATTACACATGTTCAATAGCAGGCTGTATCTGGGTTTTAACATTTTACAGAGGCAGATCAGATGAAGAGAAAAAGTTAATCAATGTTCAGTCACAAAAGCAACGTTGTGAGCCTAGCCAATCAGAAATATGACTTTAATCAGTGAGATGGTTTTACTTTCAAGACAAGTCTGTTAACAACAGCTGCATACATGGACAAAATGACTGCTATAATTGAATATCAAAGCTACAACTCAGTCCCCACTTGAGAAATATTTTAAAAAGATGGAAAACGTTATTGCCACAAGGATCTGTCCCGAATTTAATTATTTCAGCAGTCATTTTAAAGGTACAGAGGTCTGTAAAATGACAATTAGATTAAATTGGGAAATACTGTGTTTTCTGTTGCTATTTTCCTTCTACAAAATGAAGAGTTGAAAAAATTGCACGAGATACATGAAGCATCTATTTGTGGAACATAAATTTTTACAACTCAACAATCATCTTGTAAGTCTTTTGTAAAAGCTCACGTGGAGTAGGAGGATATCTCCTTGTAATTCTAAAATACATTTTCAAAATGTTATGTTGTGCTCTTTTGATATGTGAGTTCAGGGTGGCTTAATGGTCCTCGTCAAATCTAAAATATAACAGTGTGGTTTTATGGACCCATATGAACTAAAAAAGAGGTCTGGACATTTATTAAAATAAGAATGTTTTACCCTTCCTCTTTATAGACTGTTGCCATAGTTTTAAAACAGGTTCTGTACTTGATCTCTCCAGGAACTGGCTGTGGTCCTTGAATCCTACTTTTTGCAACATCAAAAGGAATGTTAATAATTGAGGCTATTGTTCCTGAGACTAGCCCAATTCCAAATTTCCTCAAAAACTCCAAATTTGGATCCTACAAAAAAAGAAAGGAAGAAAGAAAGAAAGAATAAAAAGGGAAACGGAAGGACCTATGCAGGTTAAGTACTAGAAAGTAATATGTATTTAATCAGAAAACACACAACACAACACACCCGTGTTATTTTAGCGGAACACATTAGGATTTCCTATGCTGGAACTTGTTTTCTTGACAATCCTATTGGCTATGTTTTTACACATGGTCTAAATTGCTGAAGTACACATTTCCTCACACAGGATTTATAAACACAGTTCATAAAGAAAGACTGGTATGGCATATGGGGATGATTTGTATAATTGGGCTTCACAATGTACTTAGTATTACTGTATCAAAACAGGAGAAATCCAAGCACACTATTAGCTAATTGGCCAGAATATTTTACAAATGACAGCAACTTCCACCATGAAGCCTACTAAAATGCTCATTTGTGTGTTGGACCCCCAAATGCTAAATTAAATAAAGGCTAATCTCAGTCTGCTGCCATTCCCCTCCAGGTTTTTTACATTTATTTTCACATGTAGCTGATCCACTGTACTGAGAAGTGCTAGCTTCCTGTTATTAACAATCCAACTCGGCACAACTGCAAAAGAGCCTCCACGTTCTGCGCATTATAAATGGTGGTAACTCACTGAGCTAATTGGCTGAAGAATTTACAACAGATTGTTTCTGAACCCTACTATATATTCATGGTAAAAGTTAGAAGCAGGTTAGAAGTGCATCTAAAAACTTCTTTGCTCACTCACAGTTCACAGTTCAACTGGGTTTTATTTAATCTTTTAGAAAGACCTCCTTCCATAGCATTTTCTATGACATCAAAGAACCCAGAGTTTATCTGAGAGCCAAAGTCTCTTGAAGCAAGTTTAATCCTATTTCTTCAAGTAGTGGAAGTCACAGGGAAGTGTGTTTCAGGGCATTTCCTACGCACTTATTTTTCTTGCTGTTGGCTGTCAACAGCAACGCCACTTTTTTGCTATATCAGACTCTATATATGCACTTCAATTTTTTTTCATGAAGGTACTTTAATTATAGAAAATCATCAGTAAAATAACAAATTATCTTGCCATGTTATAACATCAGCACAACGTTAAAATGTAAGAGTTCTTTGTTTCCAAAACCTGTACATTTGTGACTAAAAAAGGAAACAATGAATAAGTTTTTCTTTCTAGATTAACAAAAAAGAAACATAAATTAAAACTTCCATAATATGCATTGGAAAAAGTCCATACAGGTGTTTAGAGAGAAATGTCAAAATCAACAGGGCTTTTTAGTACTTGCAGAAAAACTCAACACCTTGATTTCACAAAACATGAAACATACTGGTAATACCTTTTAAAAATTAGAATGGCTTGTGGTACATAAAGAATTGCAAGACTATGTGAGCAAAAAGCTTAGCAACAACTTTCTGTTTATTCTGTACATACTGACAGTGGTTTAAATGCTAATAAAATAAAGCAAATATTTCTGGTATCTAGAGAAGAAAAAAGGACCCCTTTTGAAGTTTGAGGGGCAGCAGTATGGCAGCCCCATTCCAGCTTAGTGCCTACCTACCTCCAGGCAGCAGGCATGTCCCTATACCCACACCTGACAGCTAAGTACTATTCCAGATTGTACTAACCTCCTCAAACTAGGCTGCAGCAAGGAGGCTACCACTGCTCTGTCATTTGTCATACAATTTGACACAAGGACACTTTCTTCCACAGTGCCAAGGACAGTGGGAATACGTCAGGCAAAATATTTACTTGTTAAACACTGAATTTCAAGCCTTGCAGCTCCTGAGAAATCATTTATATTGGAATGATTGAACATGTTCATATTCTGTTGAGTTCCCAGTGCCAGTGTTGTCTGCTTTATGATTGAGAGTGCCACAGAGTATAGGATACAGTGGCTGTCCGATCAAGTGAGCATCTGTTAAGACCTGACACGGCACTAACACAACTAAAGGGGTATTAAAGCAAACTGCTTTATTTATATTCCATTATCTGTGACACAAACAAAGTTGAAAGGCAGCATTTTTGCCCCTTGAAAAAACTAGATTCTAACCAAATGTGCTTTTTTATATAATTTGATTTAATTATAATATTTATCATGGGAAAGATTTTTCTATGGCATTCATCACTGTAATATCCGGGTCATTTCATTCAAATAGCATTCAAAATAAACTTATCTGTTAAAAATAATTAAAAAGTTATTTTTCTAAAAGCATAGCTTAGTGGCATTTTACTGTGCTAATGCTTCTAGTTGAAAAAAGAGATTTCCAAACATGGGACATATTCCTTACATGGAATACTCCAAACATACTCCTTACATGGACAAAGGAATATAAAGGAATATAATAAAACAAAGGAATATCCTATCTATCAGGTAGGATAAGTTGATGCTATCAGGAACCAGTGTCTTTCTTTTCACACTGAAATCTGTTCTTTTCCTACCTCATGGACAATGCCAAAATATTCCTAACAGTCTAGGATCCTGTGAAAGGAAACATAATGATAAGGTGTCTGTCTAGTGCTAATGCTGCAACTGGCTAGCATGGGTAGTTATCATCACTTTATTGTCACCAACTTCTGCAGCATGCAGTTCATCGACCAAACATCATATCATTCTTATATTGTACATTAGAAAAAAAGATTCTGACAAGCTCCTCTTGCTTTCATAAGTAGCAGAACTGGAGATAAATCATAGTCATTCTTTTTTTTTAAGCAGAAGTGATTTTTATGTAGTATGAGCAGAACATATAGAACAGAAACTTGATTTAGATGGTGTCACACCACAGCACACTATACCACAAGGAAGTGAAATACCAGTTTGCTTATTCACAATGGAATAACTTTGCTGTGGTTGGATATAATGTCACCCGTGATCATCTCACCTTTTTACCATGCTCTTCACAATCACATTTTCTGAACATCAGTCCCTGCCCTGTGAGCACCAGAAGCCATTAAAAATAAAAAGAGAAGTAGGCATTACTAATAAATGCTGTATCTATGCATGTCCTGCTGGATTTCCCTGCTTTCTTTGGGTGAAAAAATTTGGAGATGTCTCTGCTTTTTATACTCCATTACTCCTATCATAACATTTAAAAATAAGTGGAGACTCCATAAATTCCCCCTGAATCATATGCTGCTTAATTCCTTCTTTTATATTCCATGATTTCCAGCAACACAAAATTCTAGCCCTAAATCTAGCACATACACACTCATGTACAAGAGTGTCACCCACTGGAGACAGTTTTAATTTATCAGTTTCATTTCCAATGTCCAGGGCTTTCCCTTCCTTACCACCTCATTCACTTCTTTATTTGCTGGGCATTTGTCAAAACCTCTGTTTAAACCTTTGATCTCAATCAAAATCCTCCAGACTATCTTCATCTGTACTGAAGGAAGGTCACTTAATTCAGCAAGCAGCACAGTTATTAATCCAACAATGAAATTACCTTCTGGTAAAGGTATGTATGCTTGGAACTCAATTTATTTTTTTCAGAATAACTGAAAAATCATTTTAGGATAGATAATGACTCACCACAGTAGATATATTTGTACCGATTTAGACACCCATCTTAGATGCAATCCAAGGGTTCAAAGGTAGGACACCACATCGTATATGCAGTGGAGAGAAGTAAGTACCTTCGAAGGAACAGCTCAAAGACCCTAAGGTAGGTTGCTTGAAGTAGAGCAGAAATAGATAATGTGGATAGTCCACTGACATGCATAATAGTGTTTAGGAACACAGAGGCTCTCAGGAATACTACTTATTTTTTCCTTCTGATGCCCTGTTCAGTCTGAATAAAAGCGGCAGAATGTGTTGCAAAGATAATTTAATCCCATTTTTAAGCAAAAAAAAACCCACAATAAAATCAAAAGATCAATAAATATTAACTTGAAGCTATTTTTAGAAGTTTGGTTGCTTCAATATTTGGATATCTTGAGAATTTTTTTTTTTCCCCACTTGGTGGAGGTACGTTATCTTATGAGAAACAATACTTTTATAAATAAATTTTGGTACTTCTGAGCACCTCATAGATAAGTTCACTATAAAGGACTAATGCTTACTGGATAAGGAGAATGCCAATTCCTGACAATTTGCTTCAAGAATAAATAATAATAGTAGAATAATATTTCACATTGGTAATTGCAAAACAGTCTACTGAAGTTAGCCCAAAACTAATACCTAGAGTGGAATATTTGCATTAAGTTTCTTAAACTCTTTTGAAAATGTTACCCATAGTATTAGTTTTATAGATGAGTTACACTTGGTACAAAAGTGCCAGAAGTGATTTGAAATGACCATTAAATTTCAATACATTTGCTCAAGGTCACCTAACAGGTCAGCAGAGAACCAGGAATGAAGCTGAGAGGCTTTGCACTGTATGCTCCACATTCCACCTCCCTGTGTGTGACAAGGGAGACTTCAAAAGACAAGGCTTTGGTTTGTCCAGCTCTGGTTCTGCCTGGTATACCTAGGAATTACAGGACTGAAGAGGCAGATAGACAAGGAATAAGGAGTAAAGTTGCTTCTTGGCCCTTTTGACCAAGGTAAAACGTAATAGCACAGGAACTCCTATGTTAAGCTAAGAGGTGCCACATGCCCTGACCTAGGCTACATCGATTATAATCAAGTGTTTGGCAGCAAAACAGGCTGCAAGGAACTGCTTTAGCCAGCCTGATAATTGGTTCTAACCACTAAAAGGAGCTTTCTTTGGCAACAGGCAGTGTAAGAAAGGAAGACATGGGTCTGAGGAATGTGAGCTTCCAAGACAGAGGAGAAAAGGTATATTCAGAGAGAGGCAAGGTGGGAGATAGTTCTCAGGAAAGCAACAAGGAACAGATGAAAAACTCAAACGAGTTGCGTTAAACACAGTCACTGAGCCAGAACCCGGAGGAGACAGGGGCTGGGTCTTCCTGCAAAGTCCTAGAGGAAAGCTGGGAAGAAAGGCTGTCACATTCTACTCTTAGAGAAGGAGAGGCTGGTACAGATGTGATCACATGATTTGGAGGCAT